CCCCCCCCCCCCCCCCCCCCCGACTCCTTTTATGTACTAAGTGGCTCAAAAGGGTAGGGGTCCAAAATTTGGTTTTGACATCTAGGAAGTGGATCCCTCTGGGCCAGGAAGTTGCAAAGGGATCAGAGGAATGAATACTTGGAGAGTGGATCTTCCAGAGATGACAAATGGATCCTGGGAGGTGGAGCTTCTGAAGCTTACTGAGTGTGGATCCTATTGCCAAGACTGGGAGATGGGTTCCCTAGAGTTTGGGGAGAGGTGAAATTTCCTTCTCATCCCCAAGTAGATCTTGTTGAGCATGCTGAGAAGCAAGGGGGTAGGGGGCATCAGAAGAGTTATCTAGCTCTTTTTGAGTTTCATACAAACTATTTATCATCCTCAACTCCACTTGCTTCCAGGCCACTACAACTCTGGATTTGGCTTTCATTCACCAAGCACTTCTTAAGTGCCTTCCATGGGCCAGGCTCTGTGCTAGGCCTCACAGGCCCAATGCTGGCACACTTGGATAGATCCTAGAACACTGTGTCTGCTTCCTGATATCTAGATCAAAGACTGGAAGAGTAGGGGGCCCCAAGCTTGGAAGGCTTATAGTCACATGAAGCTTTAACTTTCCCGCTAGCCCCTTGTGTGTTTGGAGATTTTATTTTGTGTAACAGAATCATAGGATGATTATCATGGGGTGTGGAACTAGAAGAGACCTCAGACATCATCTTATTCAACTCCTTAATTTTTTTGTTTTTTGGTTAGGCAGTGGGGTTAAGTGACTTGCCCAGGGTCACACAGCTAGTAAGTGTTATGTGTATTAAGTCACATTTGAACTCAGGTCCTCCTGAATCCAGGGCCAGCGCTCTATCCACTGTACCACCTAGCTGGCCCTCAACTCCTTCAAATGAGGAAACAGGTTCAGTGAGTGAAGGGAGTTTGCTCAGGATCTCACAGGTATTAAATAGTGGAGTTGGGATTTTAACCCAAGCCTTCTGATTCCAAATCCAGTCATTTTTGCACCATAATGTGCTGCCAATTGCTTTAAGATTTGACACTATCCAGGAGTCTCAACAGAGCTATATCAGGTCATGGCTGGCACCTTCCTGCCCAGGTTAAGGAGGCTCGGGAGCTGCAGGGGCTCCCACCTACCCCTGGCCTTGGGCAAGGGATGAGCAGCCCTGGGATCATCCAAGATGCTTCATCTGTGTATCTAGAGATATTATGTGTATTTCTCTGTGGCTGTGAAGGTGGGGGCAGTGTCACAGAAAGCCCTCCTCCTCTGCATCTCCATCACTGAATGGGGTCATTTTCCTCTCATAGCTCATAGAAACTATTTAGAATTGGGATCTTAGAGGTCATCTAGTCCAATCCCCTGATTTTGCAGATGAGGAGTCAGGACAAGAGAGGTTATATGACTTGCCTAAAGACACAAAGCTGATGATAGGGGGCCTGGGTCTCCGTCAACCCCAAAAGAAGTATGGGAGAACTGGAATTAAGTAGACTGCAAAGACTTCAGGAGAACCAAAGCTCCTGAGCTGAAGTTCCTCCCTAGAGAAAGACCTACACCACTGTGCCTCAGGGCTTCAGTCCCAGTATGACTATACTTCAGGTGAGAGCAAGTATGATTTAACCGGAAAGGGATATGTATAGTCAGCACTAAAGTCCCCTCAAAAGAATCTTTCCATCAAGAAGATCATGAACTCTAAGAAATATCTTAGGTTAAGGTTCACTTTCAGAAAAGCCTCAAATAGTTTCTTTCTAGTTCATGGCCTGGGGTGAAAGTTCCCCAGGTCATGTACAAGCCTTAGAGTATTGAGGGAAGTCAAGGTTGCAGTAGAGAAGACATTGCTCCAAAAAAGCAGGAGGCTGGGGGCTCCCTCCTGTTAACCTGTAGACTGTCTCCAGCAAAACTATCCCTTCTGGAGATGTGTTAACCTCCCCCCCCCCCCCCTTTATCCTCAGGATCACTGAATTAGCTGGATGGCTCAAAGCCTTATCTTTTTCTAAAGTATTCTAACCTTTGCCCTCTACTTTATACATTCCCACCCATCCCACGGCATAGCTGGGTGTGGAAGAGTAGCTATGCTTGGGTTCTTACTTTTTCCTCTTGCTTCTCCACCTCTAGTCCAATGCCAGGGTAGGCTGCCTAAACCCATGAAATTGCTTCCTCACTCAGAAGTAGCATTCTATAACACATATTTGGAGGGAGCCACAGGATTAGGTCTGATGGATTGGAGCTTCCTAGGCCAAGGGGCAGGATCTTCTCCAAAGGGGAATGAGATATTATGGAGTAGATCTGAGTATAAATACTACTGAGGAGGCATCTGTAGCATGCATATATTCATACATTATATGACTGAATGATAATTCAAGTGTATGTCTCCATGTATTTGTGTTTGGAGGGTATATGTCTGGGTGTGACTGAACACAGAACTGCAAATACCAGGGTACCTAGAATCATGTTTCTAGTGGGGTCTGTATATGGGGTAGACCCTTATGAATCCTGGTGAGGTATAGACATACACAGAGTAGAGTGGGGGTGGGGAATGCTTTTTGTAGCCTGGCATCATTGAATGGTTGTAGAGCAATAATCATACATATCAGAGTAGCCCAGGTTGGGTTCAATATCCCTGGAACTTTGGGAGTGATAGCAGAAGACTCTGTGGGTTTGGAGGTTACCCAAAGATATTTGAGCCTTCACCCCAAGAACTTTTCATTCTGGCAAGATCCAGCTTTGCTGTGAGAGCTTCTTTCTTCTCCCAAAGCACCTGACCATCTGGTCAGGAATAGAAACTATTCCAGCACCCCAGCTACATGGGGGAGCTGGTTCACAGCCCAACTTAAAATACCTTTCTATCTGACCCCTAGATGGGGTCAGGTGCAGTGGTGAGTTTGGTAAAGCATTGTAGATTTAAAGATTGATTGATCTCATACAACCCCCTTATTTTACAGATGAGGAAACTGACTGCAAGTGGTTAAGTAGGTTGCCTGAGGTCCCATAGGTAGTAAGCGGAAATTTTGGGATTTGAACACATGTGCTCTAGGCTCAAGTTCATGAGTCCCTACGACTCTGAGTATCAGGGCAGTCATGTGGATACTTATCCTTAGATGAGCTCCTCGACCTGGTGAGAGTTAGAGTGATTCTGTCTCTGAAAGAAAACTAAGATGAACCCTAAGGTCTTGGCAACCAAGCTGAACCCAGCGAGTTTTGGCTTTTATATTGTATCCTGTCCCTGTTTTCTTCCTTTCTATTCTTTCTTCCTTCCTTCCTTTTTTCCTTCCTTCCTTTTTCTTTCCTTCCTTCCTTCCTTTTTCCTTCCTTCCTCTCTTTCTCTCTCTCTCTCACTCTTCTCTCGCTCTCTCTCCCTTCCTTCCTTCCTTTCCTTCCTTCCTTTCCAAATTGGTGTTCTCAATGGGTTAGCCCTATTATGATCTGATAGAAAATATTCCTGGTCTCCCAAAGAGGTTGTCCCAAATTTAGTGGAATAAAATACTATGCTCTGGGGACTTTTATGATCTATTTAATTTCTACCTTGGTACAGTGGAAAGATCACTAATTCTGGAGTCAGAGGACCCCGGTTCAAATTTTGCATCATATGATCACTACTTGTGTGACCTTAAGCAAATCTCTTAAACTGCCTAGGCCTCAGGTTCTCATCTGTAAAATTAGGGGGTGGTAGTGTTAGATTAGGTTAGGTTAGATGGTCTTCCAATTCCACGACTATGATCTTATGACAAAGGAGAGGATAAAGGAGGGGAAAGAACAAGCATTTATATAATACCTACTGTCTACCAGGCACTTTGCTAAGTACTTTTGCAAATATTATCTCATTTGATTCTCACAACAAACCTGGGAGGTAGGTATGTTATTATTTCTATTTTACAGTTGAGGAAACTGAGGCAAAGTGAGCCTGCAGTCACACAGTAAGTATCTGAGGCCACATTTGAACTCAGGTCTTCCAGATTGTAGACCCAGCACTCTATCCAGTGCCCTACCAGCTGCCTCTGACAACATACATCTGCCAATCTAAGTATGTATGTGAGAGGCAGCCTGGTTGTAGTGTAAAGAGCTTTGAATTTGGAGTTGAGGTCTGAGTATGATACGTAAGAGCAGGTAGATCTAGGGCAAATTCCTGCCCCTCTGAGTCTCTGTTTTTTTCTGAAAAATCAGGATAATAAACTCACAGGAGTGGAAACAGGAACCGATTTACAGCCTATAAAGGGGTATAGAAATGTGAGTGATTAGGAATGGTCATTTTATTAGGGAGGCAGTGTTGAGGTAGTGGGTAAAGAGCTGATTATGACTCAGAAAGGGCCTCCTGTGACAGTCTGTGACCCTGGGCAAGTCACTTAAGAATGTCATTTGCAAGAAGGTGCTGATCAGCACTGGTGGGCAGGAGAAATTCTTCATTGGGAGCTCACTCCCTACACCAGTGAAATCACAGGACTGGGGAGAAAACATTTATGTTAGCCCAGAATGGTGGAAGGGGGCAAAGGGGAAGAGAACAAGCATTTATTAAGCACCTCCTATGTGCTAAGTGCTTTACAAATGAGAGAAAGCTGGCCTTAGAGTCAGGAAGACCTGGGTTTAAGTCTGGCTTCTGACACATTCAGGACATAGGTCACTTGACCTGTCAGTACCTCAGGCAACACTCTAAGACTGCAATTGGCCACTGTTGATCTGCTTGGAGCTTCCTACACGTTGAAGTTATAGGTCCAGGCAGAAAAACCTTAGTAGTACAAGTATTATGAGTCAATCTGTTGGGCTAAGTGAGTGTTTATTTAGCAATCTAGCTAGTATTTATGAAAGGGAGAAATCACTTCTCTACTACCCCCTACTCTTACTACTCTCAGAAAGCATATTTATATAGGGAAACCTGTCCCTTTAAAAAAAAAATCAGTTTTTTTTTCAAGAAACAAAAATACATTTTTCTCTCTGTACTTCCCCCATATTGAGAAAGAAAAAAAAAACAAAACCCTTGTAACAAATATGCATAGTCAAGCAAAACTGATTCCTCTAATGGCATGTTCAACAAATATTCATCTCATTTTGCGTGCATCTTTCCTCCGTCACTTCTCTGTCAGAGGTAGGTAGCATGGCCATCTCATGATGACCTTTTCCCAGCTCCTAATAAGGATTACTTCTTGGCCTCCCAGACCAAAGAGAAGAGGATGTGGCCTTGTTTAGGTTGTGTGGCAATGTAGTAGTAAGAATCCCCCCTGGAAGAAAGAAAGGTCTGGACTAGTAATGGATGGTGAGGGGGACAGGGAATGATGAAATGCAAGCACCTTGTATTTTTTCCTTCTAATAATAACCTGATGATTAGCCTCATGCCATTATTTTGGGGAGCATGAAGCATATGATAGATATGAGCACAATAAGACTTAATTGCTTTTTTCATCGGAAGAAGGGGTGAATTGTTGGTAGGGATTATAGTCTGAATCTTTTTAGTGAAGAGGTCATCAATGTTTTAGATTGGGAGGATTAGTTAGGTATATTTAGGGAGCTGATGGCAGTATTGGAAATAGAATTGAAGCGAAGTGTTTGGGAGTCGCTTTTATGAGAAGTATGAGGGGGTAAGAAAAATAGGATGGGTTAAAGGAGAATGGGGATGGAGGATCTCAGAGCTGCAGCCCGGTGTGGTTCCAGGGGTCATTGCTTTAGGCTAGGGAAGGGCCTGACCCAACCAGCAGCAGGGGTCCTCTTCCTCCAGGGGAACTCATGATCATTCTATCCCTGCTATGGCGTATACATGCAATGCCGAAGGAAAAGTTCCCCAACACTTTGAATTCACCCTCATGCTCCTGCTCAAGGATTGGACAGTTTTTTAATGTAATTCTCTAGGGCTTCCCATGTGCTATTGCCTTGAGTTCCTCCACAGAAGTCAGAAATACATCTTGGTAGCAAATATTCAACTCCTGTAGCACCTAGTCAGGAGAAGCCAGGAGTGTGACCTCTGGAGAATGGACTTAGTTCTCCATTCTCCTTCCTCTCCCACCCCTCCAAGTATGGTGTTTTGCTTTGGCTGGCTAGAGAGGCCTGGCTTTGGCTCAGTCAGTGATGGCTGTCACAGCTGCCCTGCTCCTTCCTAGACGTGGCAGCTTTCAGATTTGGTTTGGTTTGGTGAGGAGCTGAAAGACCTGTTGGTGCCTGAAAAGACTTGGGTGACTGACCCTGTGCATTTCTATGATGTAGATCAGGTCCAGACAGAGAGGATAGAGGAGAAATCTCTTCCTGGTGCTATTTATAAACATGGCATATTTTTTTTTCCCCTGTCAGTCGGCTCTTGGATTGCAGTTGCGTCCTGGCTGCTTAGAACCCTAAGGCACTAAGGTGTTTCCTTCAGCTCTGGGGAGCTGGCTTTCACTTTGCATTGCAGCATGGGTGTGTTTATTCGTGTGGATGTTAGGACTGGGTGCATGTGTGTACATGCAGAGAAAGCTCGGGTGGGATACACCCTTGGTGGAAAAGGGCACGAAGTTTTGGGGATTCCTGAGCCCTGGGGGGAAATGGGGGCATTTGTTAGAGGGGAGGAATTGTCATTTTCTAATAGGTGACTTAGATTTAAAGGTAGAGTGAAGTCATTAGCAGCAGAGTCTGTGTAGGAATATGTGTATTTGGACAAGGAGGAGAGATCACATTCATGAATGTGGCTCAGCCCAGAGTGACCCTGGAGACATTCCAGCTTAGGCTCTTCCCGAGGAGTGACTGAGGACTCTCAGCAGGGGTGCCAGGGAAGAGGTTGTACCAGCTAGAACTAGGGTAAGCAGGCATAAACTCTCAGGTGGCAAATCTTGAGGGGGATGAATGGATGCTCTCCTTGCCTCGAGGGGAGTGCCACTGGGGGATTTCTATCAGCCCCATCCAGATATCGCTCCACAGGTGTCACCCATCTTTGTGGCTTCACCCTCTTGGAGCCACCTCCCTGCCCTCGAGAGTGCCCAGGCTGTGTGGGTGGCAGGAGGGTTTGCAAACCCAGGCATGGGTGGCCTGGCAGTGATAAGAGTCTGCATGGGGGTTTAGGCAGGGTGCTTGCCTGGCTAGGAGAGAAGGGCAGAGGGAGGGAGAAAAGGAGTTCAGCTCCTCACCCCAGAGTGGCTATTTTTAGCCAGCCTGTCTGATTGTTACCGGTGCACACGCAGCTGGGTGTCTCCCTGGCTCAGTGGAGCCATCACGCTGGAGTGGTGGGAGGTGCCTCCCATGGCTTCTTCCTTGTGTGCGCATGTATGTGTGTGTGGGCGTGTTTGTTCTGGGGAGACTGCTGAAGGTGTGTAGGGTGGCTGTGTGCTCAAGATTTGTTACCTTTGTATGTGATTGCTCTATCGGTAATCTCCTATAGCTGTGAGTGTGGCATATAGTACATTGTGTGTTTTTGTGTGTGTGTTTGCGCACATACTTGCGCACCTAGTATCTTTTATTTATGGGTGTGTAGTATGTTCTCTCTGTGTATGTATGGTATATACACATGAGCTGGATTGGAAAGGTGGATCCTTGTAATACCTCTTAAAGGTGGTGCCTATGCACACTGAATATGGTGGTAGGATCTCAATCTGTATGTATTTTTGCATATATGTATATATACACACATATATATACACACATATATATACATATACATACATATACATATACATATACATATATATATATACACACATACCTAGACTGAGTCAGGGTGCCCATGTAATTAATTCTAAGCATTATAGATCTGGAATTTGAGTTCTAGCTTTGCAATTTACCATTTGCTTACCTTTAGGCAAGTCACTTAGCCTTTCTAGGCCTCAGTTTCCTCATTTGTAAAACAAGGACTTTTGTATTCTAACCTTTCTTCTAGATGTAAACCAGATGGTTCTGGGGTCCTAATTAGCTTTTCCTAACTGTTGGCTGTTTATATCCAGGTTTTAAACCTTGCTATATTGTAGAGCCCCATTCTAAAAGAGTGGTCTCTGGACCCTTGAAGTTCCCTAAAGGGGATTTTTTTTTTTATGGTGAGGCAATTGGGTTTAAGTGACTTGCCCAGGGTCACACAGCTAAGTACGCATCAAGTGTCAGAGGCCACATTTGAACTTAGGTCCTCCTGACCTCAGATCTGGTGTTCTATCCACTGCGCCACCTAGCTGCCCCTAAAAGGTGACTGACAGTGTTAAAGGCTACAGAGAGGTCAAGAAGGATAAGGTTTGTGTTTTTGTTTTTTTTGTTTTTTTTGATGAGGCAATTGAGGTGAAGTGACTTGCCCAGAGGTCACATTTGAACTCAGGTCTTCCTGAATCCAGGGTTGGTGCTCTATCCACTGAACCATCTAGCTTCTTCCTTACAGGGGATTTGTGAGATCACAACTATTTTTATAATAAACTAAGACATTATTTGTGTGCTAAAATACTCCCTCTCCAACTACCTATCTGTGAGGCCATATCTTTTTTGATATATTTCAACCAAAAGAACACATCACAACAGACTGAGTGCAGAAGACAGGAGAATCCATCTTGTCTTCTATTAAGCTAAACCTTAAAGAGATTTGCAGAAATATGTAAAATAATCCCACTTTTTTCACTAATTTTTTTGTTTTAGAAAATGCTGTTATTTTTTCATTAAAATGTTATTCATGTTAATGTGTAATAGCTTTATTATTGTTTTGAATGAATTAATATCTACATATTTTTAAAATTAATCAGTTTTAATTTCTAACATGGTAGATATCAGTAGATATAGCCCACGTAAACAGAAGCTCTTTGGGATTCTCAGTAATTTTTAAGAGGGTAAAGGGATCTTGAGACCCAAAAGTTTAAAAACCACTGGTGTGTAACCATAAGTGGAGAGAGTTGAGGGACTGGGGGGGCAGATGTATCTGTCTGTCCTCAGTTTGGAGAACAATTCAGACTCTTGTTCAGCTTCTAAGGGACGAGTTCTATCTACCTTATTTCAGGGTAGGAGGGATAATGAGGCAGAGTTGCCATGATCCTTTTAGATCATGGTCAGATAGGTGGAATATTGAGGCATACAGGAATGAGGTGAGAGGATTGGGAGTTGTTCATAAGAGAAGTACAGTTTAAGGAAATGACATTTAGTCGAATGAAAATCCTTTAAGGGGTTGGGATTAGAATGCTTCTCAGGAGCTAAACACTATTTCAATTAATCATTCAGTGAACATTTAAGTACCTATGATGCATCAGATACTATATACATTGTGCTATATACACTGTACTTATCTATCCCACTCTCTCCCCATTTGTACTCTTCTACAGAACCTGGCAGCACCATGGCTTCTGACCTGGAGAGCAGCCTCACCTCCATAGACTGGCTTCCCCAGCTGACCCTTCGAGCTACCATTGAAAAGCTGGGGGGAGCCTCACAAGCTGGGCCCCCTGGAGGTAGCCGCAAATGCCCACCTGGTTCACCCACGGATCCCAATGCTACCCTGAGCAAGGATGAAGCAGCCGTCCACCAGGATGGCAAGCCTCGATACAGCTACGCCACACTTATTACCTATGCTATCAACTCTTCCCCAGCCAAGAAGATGACCCTCAGTGAGATTTACCGCTGGATCTGTGATAACTTCCCTTACTACAAGAATGCTGGCATTGGCTGGAAGGTAGGACTGTCCCTATAACTGGCCATGCTTTTGTTCTCAGCAACCATGCCTTCCACCCCATCTCTTTCTCATCTAGCTCTGATTCATTCAATTCCAGCACAGGGAGATAGGTGACTTGATCATGGTAAAATTACTTCTACAAGGTATGTCAGGCAAATTCCTCCAGTGCCAGAATTCTAGACATAATTTCCAGGCTATAACTACTTTCCCTACTGTCCCAATTTCCTCTCCCCAGATAGACCTTTTTTTTTTTTTCCATCTTATTATGTCTCAGGACAGGAGTACCATCAAATTTCTGTGTCTGTGTTTCACATGGCCATCTTGCCTTTTTAAAAATACATTTTTACTGATATCTTCTGTTGTTAAGTCACATACATTTCCCATTATATCCCTCCATCCCCCCAAAACCCTCTTTTATAACAGAGCATAAAAAAGAGGGGAAAAAAGTTCAGCAAAACTAATCATTACATAAAGTTTGGCATTATTTGCCAGGTCCCATACTTGTAGTTCTCCAATTCTTCTGCAAAGAAGCAGGGAGGTGCCTTCTTATATTTGTTTGTTGGGGCCAAGCTTGACCATTATAATTTCACAGGATTCAGCTTTGATAGTTTTATTGTTATTGTTCTTTCCATTTACATCATTGTAGTTGTGTATATTGTTTTATGGGTCCTGTTTATGTCACTTTGTATTAGTTCATGTGGCTTACTTTACTTCTTTTTATTCATTATATTGATTGTTTCTTACAGTATAGAATATTCCATCATGTTCATGAACCACAGCTTTTTGTCTCCTTTCCCAGGTTGAGACATCTAGTTTATTTCCAGGTTTTTGCTACAATAAAAAAATGCCCTATAAACATTTTGGAGTATAAAGTCTGTCTTTTTATCATAGACTACCTTGGGATCTTTGGGTCAAAGGTTATGGATATTTTAGTCACTTTTTACCATAATTCCAAATTGCTTTCCACAATGTTCAGATCAATTTACAGCTCTGCCAACAGTGCACTAGTGTGCCTATCTGTCTGTAGTTCCTTCAACATTGAATATTCCTAGTCTTGTGCTATATTTGCCAGTTGGTAAGTATATCTTGAGAAATATGCCAATCAAAGAAAACTGACAGTAATGAAATTACCCCCAACTGCAGCAGCTTATTTTTCAAACAAGTTAAAAGTAGTTAAGTTGTTTAGTTATAAGTAAGAAAGCATGGCTGGCCTACCTCTTTTGGCAAGGAAAAGACCCTGTGTCCTCACTAATCTTTTGGAAAAAAACCAAAAACCAAAACAAAACTCATTTGTCAGCTGTTGAATGGGGATTGGGTGGATGTAAATAGTTCCTTCACTTTTTAATTTTAAAAGGCTTTATTAAGCAACTACTAAGTATAAGGCACTGGAGATACAAAGAAAAGATGAAAAGCAATCAGCCCTCAAGAATCTTACATGTTAGTGCAGGAAGAAAGATATAGTATTTATTTGTTTTGAACTTAAAACACTAAAAAAAGAGCATTTTCGTACACATAACCAACACAAAAAGAGAATTCTCTATGAAACCACTGGTTTCCATTTCACACTTCTTGCTTTAAAAAAAAGTAAATGATAAATTCTAGATGTTACTTTTAAAACCATCCTGATTCTCTGTGTTTCCTTTTGGATTTTTTTTTTCTGTTTTCTTCTGGGCATTTAAAAATTTGTTCCAATGGCCCAAGAGAAAGATATGAGGGGAAAAAAACCCCTTACAACAAATAAAAAAATTAAGCAAAACAAATCTACACAGTGGCTATGTCCAAAAATGTCTCTTTCGTCACCTTCATTTCTCTGTACCCACTTCTCAGGAAGTGGGTAACATCGATCCTCTGGAGATATGATTAGTCATTGCAATGATCATAGTTCTTAAGTCTTTCAAATTTATTTTTCTTTATGTTGTGGTTCTTAAATAAATTGTTCTCCTAATTCTACTCAATTCACTCTGCATTTGTTCACAATGTAGAATTCTCTGAAATTGTCTTGTGTCATTTCCTACTGGTCAGTAATGTTCCCTTACATTCACATATCATGATTTATTCGTCTATTATCTGATTATCTAAGATGTACTATAAGGTGCCCCCTTACATTATTTTTCTTTTTTTACCCTTTTACTGCCCACTTCAGGATCAGGGAATTTGTTTTGCTTATAGCTATTAATTCCTTGGTATTATCTTCCTTCTTAAAACTCCTCCACCCCCGACACACACAAAAGTCCCTGATTTTTTTCCCCTGTTGAGTTAGATATATTTGTGCATGTCCGACCCTCTTTTGTGTCTTTCACATAAAAGTGAGGGTCAGCTAATGCCCAGTCTGCTCTTCGCCTTCCTTTATCTTTGAAAACTCTTCTTCTCAATTATGAGAAATTGCAAATTCCACCCTATTTTTCTTCCTTTCTACATTGTGGTATTCCTTTTATCCTTCCTTCTCTTTCCCCATTTTAAACGTTCAGAACAGATTCAATTCACTTCCACAACTTTTGTTTTTCTTATTTAACTTTGTCAAAACCCTTTGAAGACATTAAAGTTCTGAAGGGACATATTTCTTTTTTTTTTTAATTAGTTACTTTTTTTTTAATTTATGGAATAAAACAGGCATTTCTGTAACGTAGTACATTAAAAAAGATAATTGCACATGAAACCACAAATCCACTATGTATAACTTCCTATTCCTTTTAAATACACAAGAAAGTTATCATGTAAATTTCCTCCCCACCCCTAGCCCAGAGATAGCTACCATTAGACACAAATATATATATGTATCTATGTGTGTGTGTATGTAAAATTATTCTAGACATTATTTATTAGTTCTTTCTCTGGATGCAGATAGTGTCTTTCTTCATAAGTTCTTTATAGTTAATTTGGGCATTTATAATAGTCAAAATAACTTATTTGTTCAAAGTCATTCTTTTTTTCTGCTTTTTGGTGAGGCAGTTGGAATTAAGTGACTTGCCCAGGGTCACACAGCTAGTAAGTGTCATGTGTCTGAGACTGGATTTGAACTTGGTCTTCCTGAGTCTAAGACCAGAGCTCTATACACTGCGCCACCTAGCTGCCCCCTCAAAGTCATTCTTAAAACAATATTGCTGTTACCATATACAGTTCTCTTGATTGTGCTCATTTCGCTCTTCATTATTTTGTGCAAGACTTTCCATGTTTTTCTAAGATTATTGAATCATTATTTCTCTTAGCACAGTAGTATTCCATCACAATCATCTACCACATTTTGTTCAGCCATTCCTCAATTGATGGGCATCCCTGCAGTTTCTTTTTTTGTTTGTTTTGTTTTTGTTTTTTAATTTTCTTCTTTTCTTTATTAATTTATTAATTTTTAGTTTTTGACATTCACTTCCATTAGATTTTGAGTTCCGAATTTTCTCCTCATGTCATACTTCCCCCCACCCCAAGATGGTGTGCATTCTGAATATCTGAAGGGACATATTTCTTTACCCCCTTATTAATGTCAGCACTATTCTATAATATAACTCTTTCTAATTACTCTAATAAATTTACCTTTTGAAATTTCTCTGGACTCTTGTCTATTTCATAGTTCCTGCTCAACTCTGATCTTTTCATCAGGAATGCTTCAAAATTCTCTATTCCATTAAAGATCCATTTTTTTACACTATAGGATTAAATTCAGCTTTGCAGGGTAAGTTAAATTGAACATTAAAATTTTTTTTTAACTTACGATTTTCTGAGCTATAGTATCCAGGCTTTTTTTAAATCATGATTTTCAAGGAACCACTAATTCTTAAATTATCTTTTCTTGACCTGTTATCGATGTCAGTTTTTTTTATGTCTGATACCTTTTTTAGCCTTTTGATTATATTTGAATATTTCTCACTATCTCATGGAGTCATTTATTTCTTTTTTTTAATTAAAATTTTTTAAAATTAACATTTATTTTTTTTCTTCCTTCCATTCCCATACTTCTACTAGGAAAAAGAAAAAGAAAAAGAAAAACAAGAAAAGCAATGTAATAGATACTCATGGTCAAACAAAACAAATTCCTACATTGGCCATGTCCAAAAACGTGTCTCATTCTACATATTTAACCCATCACTTCTCTTTCAGGAAATGGATAACATTCTTTGGATAACAGCCATTGATTTCTGTTTTGTCTGTTATAGTTTTCGGGGAGTCCATTACTTGGCTTAGGTTTACTACTTTTTTTTTTTAAGGCAATTGGGGTTAAGTGACTTGCCCAGGGTCACACAGCTAGTAAGTGTCAAGTGTTTGGTCTGAGGCCAGATACTTTCTTTTCTAAACTATTTATTTTTCCAATTCTTTCTACCAGAGTTTTTATTTCATTAAAAAAACAAAACTCTTACTAAATTTCTTCTAGGCATTCATGTGAAAAGTCCATTTTACCCCCTTTGAATTACTGATTGCAGTTGCTGCAGAGTTACTTGTTTCTTCTTTTGGGGGATCTCTAGATATGCAGTAATTTTTTATATTGGTTCATATTTTCTTTGATTTACTTATCTTTCCAGCTTTAGTTCATGAATTGGTGCTTGATGCCTTGGCTAGTCTGCCCTTGCCCTGTTGTTCTTTTGGATAGTTGTAGTGGACCCTGCTTGCTCTTGCTTGCCCTGGGTTCCTGCATTGGCCTCCACCTCCTGGGTTAGGCTCCTCCGGATCTTTGAGGTTCATATCTTCAGGGCCTCTCTTGCTTGTCAGGATGCAGTCTTAGGGTGTATTGCTCTGAGTGCTGCCGCAACACCGATCTCCTACTCCCAAGGTTTCCAGCTTCCATGGTCCTCACCTTGGGACTTTCTTCGGAGAGCTCTGCATTCAGAACCTTGCAGGCTACATGGGGTCAGTCCTAAGCCCATCTCTCTGGTCATACAGGGTAGCTCTTAAAACTGGCTTTGCTGGTGGCCTCATTTCCTATTGCCAATAGCCTTCTAGTTAATCTCTTGTGCAGTTCTGGGGTAGAAGAATTTGCTTATTGCAGTTTCTCCTTGGATTTTTTGATCATTATTCTGTCTGGTGTGAACGTCAGGGTTTTGCTGGGTAGTATGCAGGGGTGTGCTAGAGCTGATTTTTGTTAAAATTTCTTTGTGAGCATTTGCTCCTTGGAAATTGGCAAATGCTATGAATCAGGGCTTGACTTATTGGTTTGTTGATTGTCCTGGCTTAGGCAAGTGATGGAAGAAATGTTAATGCAGTTTCAGAGAGCTGGTTTTAAACATTTACCAACACAATCCTGGTCATACGTGGAGGCTGGAGGACTTTACTGCTTGTTAGGGCAGCCACCTTGTCTGGCAGTTCTTTCTTTATTTCCTAGTTAGCAGTTGTCTCCTGAAAATATAAGCCAACAATTAGACATGGAATGTTATTTTTCTTTGGACATATACTCCAGAGACCAGTTTTTGGATTCATTATCTAAGCATCCTTTCAATTTCTGGTTTGTGCTAATTGTTTTTGAGAGGACAAAATGAGTAGGTTCCCATTTCCCTCTTAATTAATCCTTTGTTGTTGAAACACTTTTCAAAAGTATTTAGTTATGTTTCCTGTATATGTCCTTATTGTCATAAATTTAACTTTAGTAGGAGTTCTCCTGGTCCAGTTGCTGCTGCTGATGGGTAATTTTTAATAACATAAGTAAATTGGCTCTAATCCTACCTTATATCTTCACTTCTATCTTGTTTTAAAAGTCTTCATTGTTTTAAAGTCTTTATTGATTCTTTAAAAAATTGCTAGGGGTAGCTAGGTGTCACAGTGGATAGAGCACCGGCCTTGAAGTCAGGAGGACCTGAGTTCAGATCTGGCCTCAGACCAAACACTTGACACTTACTAGCTGTGTGACCCTGGGCAAGTCACTTAATCCCAATTGCCTTAAAAAAAAAAATTTGCTATTAATTTCCCACTGCCCCCAACTCACGGAATACTCTCTTAAAATGAGTAAGAACAGTTAACCAAACAAACCCACACAGTGATCATGTCTGACAGTCTATCCCTCCTTCTGAACATGCAGCCCCTCTCTCCCCTACAGAGAGTAGAGTGGTATGCCTCCTTGTCAAAAGTCTGTAGACAAGGTGACTTGGTGCGTTCATTAATTTAAGTTCTGCAGTCATGCATTCATTTGTCTGTGGTTTTATTGATGCTTTTTTTTTTTTAACATCCATCACTTTCCTTTGACTTTCCCACCTCCTCAGTGGAGTCTTCCTTTGTAATAAATAAGGACAATCAAGCCAAACAAATCTGTTACCTTTCAGGGTTATTATTCTTTTCATTTTTTTTTTTTTAACCTGTACCTTATTCTGCTCTATTCTGTGCTTGGGCCCCTTAGCCCATCCCCTTGTGTCTTAAGAAACAAGTCGCCTGCCTCATGCAACCCTGAAGCCTGATTTTTCTCTCTGTGTCCCTAGAATTCAATTCGTCACAATCTTTCTCTCAATAAATGTTTCCGGAAGGTGCCGAGACCTCGGGATGACCCTGGGAAGGTGAGTTGTTACTAAAACCTGCGAAGAGAGAGAAGATGGTTGGTAACCAAGGCCTTCTGTATATTTTAATGCCCCATAAGAGGAAATAATGTCAATCAGACTAGCACCTTTATTTTTCTCAGTATGGGAACTTCTTTATGAGGTCCCTCTGGAATTGGTGATTAAGGAGGGCTGTGGAATCCATTTCTAGAGATCTTTAAGAACAGTGTCAACATTGGTACTCCTCTATTTGGACTGATTTAGCTTAATTTTTCTTGGAGTCTTGACATTTAGAGGCCCTTTATCGCCAATAATTCTGTGATTCTGTTTTGAAAACTTTAGGAAATGATAACGTAATTTTATAGGCGGAAGAGTACATTATTTTACTAATTTTGTAAATAGGGATTCTTGAGGCCCCAAGAAAGGTAGAGATTTGCCTGAGATCACATGAGGAGAAGAATTAGGTAAAAACTTTTTGGCCTTTTGTACTATTTCCAAATTATTCTACCCCTAGTACTTTTACTAGCCCACCATTGAGCTTATAAATTGGACCACTGTTGTACAGCATCCTGCCTCCAGCCCATATTTGAAACACTTAATGTTCTCTATTCAAGTTCTCCTTAACATCGAATAGTCCCTTGGAGAGATAACTTGAACCTTTCCTTGGCTGTTTGCCTCACTTTGGTACCATATGCACTGGAAACGTGTCCCTTCCCTACTCCTTCAAAACTAATTTGCCTACCCCAAGCTAATAATTCTTTCATCTTTTGGTGTGGAATATGCTTTCAGGGCTCTTACTGGACAATTGACACCTGTCCTGACATCTCTCGTAAGAGGCGGCACCCTCCAGATGATGAAGTAAGTTCTAACCCTGAAGTGAAAGACCATGGCTTGTCTCTTCAACCACTTCTCATATTTTTTTTTTTACCTAAGTTGGACAGAAACTGAATGTAGATAGACAGTTTTGGGGTATTGGGGACATGTTTTTTCCTGCACTTTTCTGATAATTTCCCAACTTCTTATTCATTCCTGCAGCTGTCCCAGGACTCCCCAGAACAGGAGGCAAGTAAGAGCCCACGAGGAGGTGTCGCAGGGAGTGGAGAAGCCTCATTGTCTCCTGAAGGAAATACTCAGATGTCACTGCAGAGCACCACACCCATCACCAGCTTCAATCAGGTAGGTAGGAGAGAGATGGAGGGGACGAGGTAGAGGGAGCAGGAGGAAAGGAAGTAGGCGGAGATGAAGAAAAAGAAAAATAAAAGTGCTGGGAAAGAAATTAAAGGAGACAGTAGGAGAAAAGATGATGGAGAAGGGAGGTCAAACCATAAAAGGAATGTAGAATTGCTGAACAGAGAGGAAGAAAGAAAAGTTTGTGAGAAAGAAATAAAAGGGGCTTAGGGGCATGATAAGAGAGGGTCATAAAGGAAATCGAATGAGGAAGGAGAGAACATAGGAGAAAGGAACCGAGAAAGAGGAGAAATGGAATAACTGAGGGAGAGAAAGGATAGAGAGGACAGGTAGGTCCTCTGAGGTAATTGAGAAAGACTACACTGGTTTTTCAGCTAGGGCACTGACCTCTGGTTGCAGGGTTCAGGACCTGTGGATGGTGCAGTAGTTGCAGCTGGTGGTCCAGGACGAGATGGGGCTGATGGGCCACCTCCGTTGTATAATACCAATCATGACTTCAAATTTTCCTACTCGGAGATAAACTTTCAGGATCTGAGCTGGTCCTTTCGAAACCTTTACAAGTCCATGCTAGAGAAATCTTCCTCTTCCTCTTCCCCACATGGTGAGTCATTGGTTGGAATGGGGGTCATGTATTCTGTTCATCCTTTGGGATGAAAGGATGTCTCTTCTCTTTCTTCTTTCTTGCTTATGGAGCAGGTAGAAACTATCAGAAGGGCCAGATAAGGTGAAGATGTTTAGAACAGGGTTCTAGCTTCATTCTGATGAAAAACTTTTTTTAAAAATCATTTTATTGGTGACTTTTTAAAAACACCACAATTATTCTCCCTTCCTTTCCTCTCTGTCCTTTGTAAACCAAACCAAACCAAACCCAAATATTTAAGCAAAGCCAACCAGCTACCAAGTCTGAAAATGTACATGACATTCCACATCCGTAGTCCACCTGTACTGATTTTGCAATGTCATTGTTAGAATATAAATTGTTCTCTTTATTCTGCTCACTTCATTCTGCATCAATTCGAACAAGTCTTCCCATATTTCTCTGAAACCATTCTTTTCATAATTTCTTATGGCACAATAGTATTTCATTACATTTATATTCCATAATTTGTTCAATCATCCTCTAATTTATCCCCTTAGTTTCTGGCCTTTTTTTTTTTGTCACTATAAAAAAGAGTACCTGTAAATATTTGGGTGCTGGTGGGTCCTTCTCCTCTTTCTTTGATCATGATATCTCTGGGTCTAAGAGCGTGTTTACTTTTGTAACTTTTTGGGCATAATTCCAAATTCCTTTCCAGAGTGGCTAGACCAATTCACAGCTCCACTTACACCTACATTAATAACAGTGCACCATTCTACTGAGAATTCCTTTTCAGTTTTCTGGGACTGAGATTATTCAGTACATGAATACTGACTCCTCTCAGGATATTGTCCTCAGATGTTGAGTTGGAGGTGAAAATAATCTGGTTAGTCACAGGATGACTCTTGCCAGTCATTTAGGAGACAGCCACTAGAGGACAGTGTAGTCATGGGTATAGTACAGCACCATCTTCCCCCCAGGCTCTGATTCCTTCTGATAATGGTTTAAATTTGAATAAAGGGGCTTTGAGGCATCTTTGGATTTAGGCATAATTCTCTGTACATTTCCTTTTTGTAGGAGGAATTTGAAGGTGAAATTAAGTCGTTCAAGTCAATAAAATTTGATAAGCACCTATTATACATGCCAGGCACTGTGCTAAGTCTTGGAGGTACAAAGAAAGGCAAAACATACATAGTCCCTGCCTTCAGGGAGCTCCCAGTCCAATGGGTGCGAGAACACGCAAATAACTATACAAAGAAGCTATATATCCAGGATAAATCAGAAATAATCAATAGAGAGGAGGCACTAGAATTAAGAGGGATAGTGAAAATCTTCCTATAAAAGGCAGAGTTTAAGCTGGTACTTGAAGAAAACCAGGGAAGGGAGGAGACAGGGATAGGGAGGGAGAGCATGGAGACAATGCCTGGAGCTGAAAAGATGGAATAACCTGTTTGAGAAGCAGCAAGGAGGTCAGTGTCACTGGATTGAAGAGTGCATGGTGAGGTGTAAGGTGTAAGAAGACTGGAAAGTTAGCTGGGGGCTAGGTTATAAAGAGCTTTGAACATCAAACAGAATTATTTACTTGAGCCTGGAGGTAATGGAGAGCCACACTAGTTTATTGAGTAAGACCAGGGTGACTTGGTCAGACCTGTGCTGTAGGAAAAATCACTTTGGTGAATGAATGGAGAGATTAATGGCAGGCAGGCCATGGCACCACCAGGCTATTGCCACAGTCCAGGCACGAGGTGATGAGGGCCTGCACTAGGTGGTGGCAGGGTCAGAAGAGAGAAGGGGACATATGCCAGAGATGCTGCAAAAGTGAAATTGACAGTCCTTGGCATTAGATTGGAGATGGGAGATGGGGGATGAGAGAGAGTGAGGAGTCAAAGATAATACCTGGATTGTGAGTGTAGGGGACTGGGAGGATAGTGGTATCCTGAACAGTAGTAGGGATGTTTGGAAGGGGGTAGAGTTTAGGGGAAAAGATAATGAGTTCAGTTTTGGAATGTTGAGTTTAAGATGTCTACAGGACATCTGATTCAAGATGTTTGATAGGCAGTTGGAGGTATTAGGGCAGAGAGCTTAAAGCTGGTTAAGTAGATTAGGGAGTCATCAGCCTAAAGATGATAATTGAATCTGTAGGAGCTGATGAAGTCCCCAAGTAAAGTAGTATAGAAAGAGAAGAGAAAGGACCCAGGATAGAGTCCCGGGGGACACCCATGGTAAGAGGGAGTAACCTGGGTGAAAATCCAGCAAAGGAGACTGATATGAGCAGTCAGATAGGTAGGAAGAGAACTAGGAGAGAGAAGTGTCACAAAAACCTAGGGAGAAGAGAGTATCAGAGAGAAAGTCGAAGTATACAGAGAGGTCAAGGAGGATGAGGCCTGGCTTCAGAAATTAAGAGATCATTGGTAACTTTGGAGAGGACAGTTTTAGTTGAATGATGATGTCAGGAAGCCGACGGTAGAGAGTTAAGAAGGGAGTGAGAGGAGAGGGAGTAGAGGTTTCTCTTGTAGTTGGCCTTCTCAAGGATCAAAGAGTTTTCATGTCTATGGGTATGGTGGCATCTGCTTGAGAAATTTAACTTTCTCTTTGCACATGGGGTGATGAGATGTGCAACACACAAAGGCATAGAACAGTTGTATATGGAATCAGAATAAGCCAAGGTACCAATTGAATTATCTTATAGGATATTGATTCTGGTTTAATTTTGATCAGATTGCTAAAAATAATCCTTAATTCCCCTTCCCTACCCAGCATCTCCCTCTAAGAGTATTGGTGGTACAGGTCCCATGGCAGTTAGCAGAAGTACAATTATAGAAGGAACAGAATGATGAAGAGAGAGGCGCCAAGTTTTTTTTTTTCCCCTGGCTGGCCACACGGAACTTGCATGATGTCTGGAGTCATGGTGAAGGATGTGAACCAGCAGGAGTTCATCTGGGCCCTGGCTGCCTTCCTGAAAAAGTAAGGGAAACTGAAAGTCCCTGAATGGGTGGACACGGTCAAGCTGATCAAACATAAGGAGCTGGTGACCTACAAAGAGAACTGATTCTACACCTGGGCTACCTCCACAGCCCATCACCTGTCCCTTGGAGGTGGTGCCGGTGTGGGATCCGTGACTAAGATCTATGGTGGGGGCTAGCGCAATGGGGTCATGCCCAGTCACTTCAGCAAAGGCTCCAAGAGTGTACCCAAAGGGTCCTGCAAGCCCTGGAAGGCCTCAAGATGGTGGAGAAGGACCAGGATGGGGCCCAGAAGCTGACACTTCAGGGACAGAGAGACCTGGACAGAATTGCCGGACAGGTGGCAGCTACCAACAAGAAACATTAGGACAAACCACACTGGATTCATTAATAAATTGCCTTGTTCTTAAAAAAAAAAAAAAAAAGAGAAAGAGAGAGAGAGAGAAGCCAGGCATGGGATAGAAAACCTAGGGTCCTATAGTGTTGGTTTTTATTCATTTCTTGATTTATCTCCACATTGGTTCCTTTTGGACTTTTGATATCGAGCTGATTTGTAGATCTAGGTTGGTGTCCTCAAAAGATGGTATGATAATGGTTTGGTCCTACACAGGACTCTGCTGATGTCTCTGGTTTACACTAGAAGCTCCTTGAGAGAAGGGACTGTTTTATTTTTGTCTTTGTATTACAAGCAGCTAGCACAGTTCCTGGCACATGGTAGATACTTGTTAAGTGTTTGTAGAATTGAATTGGTCATCAGGTTCATGCCCAACCTTTGTGGGGTAAACTTTAGCTGTGGCCCCATTGGCCATGCGCCTCAGTCCAACTCTGAGCTCTGTGTCCTACCACAGGAGGCTGCAAGATCTCTTATAGGGATACTGGCTATCCCAGGGCGATCTTTCCCTTCTTACTTTGGGGTTTCTGTAGGGATCTCCCGTCCAAACCCCAGCCAGCCTTGCTCATATTGCCTGAGTCACTTATTTCTTCCTACTCTGCAGGTTTCTCGACTCTCCTGGGTGATATGCAGCCTTCCAATCACAACTACTACATGTACCAGCAACCACCACAGCCACCCCAGCAACAACAACAACCACCCCAGCAATCTCAGCAGCAACCACCAGCACAGGGCCCTTCATCTGTAGGGGGTACCCCTTCACTGCATAATCCCAGCCCAGAGGGCTGCCCCCCACCGGGAGGGAAGCAGCCTGGGGCTGACAGCTATGGAACCCCCTCTGTGATGGCCATGCATCCGCCCCCGCTGCAGCATGTGGGCTATCATCCCCATCAGCACCACCCCCACCCGCATCCGCCCCAGCAGCCTCCACCACCACCCCAGCAGCAGGCACCATCCCAGGCTTCTATCAACAATACTGGCTTTGGTGAGTAAGAACAGTGGGGAAAGCCCAGGAGGAAAATGAGGTTGGGCAAATGCATGTTAAAGCGACTTGACCTTCAGGTACTCCTAATCTATGGCACTGGGAGTATCTGGGTGCCCTGGGGCAAGTCACTTAGCCTCTGAACTTCAGTTTACTTATCTGTAAAATGGAGTAAATAATACCTTATTGGATGTACTTCACAGAGTTGTTAGAATCAGATGTGATATTGTACGTAAAGCACTTTGTAAACCTTCAAGCCTTATATAAATGAGGTGTTATTATTTGTTAGAAAATTGAATCTGTGTCCCTTTAAAGTTGGGTTTTGTGACAGGACCTCTTTGGCAGTCTGGTGAAGACTATGGGACCCCTTCTCAGAATAACATTCTGTTCATTTTGTCTTTAATTCATAATAAAAGAAAATGTTGTATTTCAGTTAGAGGTTAGTGAAAATAAAGATATGTTAGTTCAGAGATCCTCTGAAATCTAACCACAGACCCTTTCAGAAGGTTAAGAACCCCTGCTTTATTAGGTTTTTTTGTAGCCCCTTTTCTGTGCCCACCAAATCCAATATGCCATGAGATCCTATCTGATAGAGGGGAAGATACAACTTAGGGCTTTTATTCAGTATTATAGAACACTTCTGATTTCAGGCTAAATGGTGCCTAAAGCCTTTTCTTAAAGATTTCCAGGGAAGGAGATTCCATGACTTCATTTATGGATATGCTTAATAACCTGTAAGTGATTCTGGAATGATGATCGTAGTAATTAGTCCTCTTGAAGTTATGTGCTGTCCCACATCTGACTTCACCGAATTTTGTCTGTTGTTCCTTCTATCCCCAGCATTTCCCCCTGACTGGTGCTCCAACATTGATTCCCTGAAAGAAAGCTTCAAGATGGTTAATCGGCTTAACTGGTCCAGCATTGAGCAGTCCCATTTTTCAGGTTAGTGGCCACAAGGAAAAAATCTGAGGGGAGAAGATACCATCATCCTTCCAATCCTCCCAGTTTGAAATCTCGGGGTCATCATCATTTATCCCAAATATCTAATCAGTTTCCAATCTTGCCATGTCTGCTTCCACTGCATTTCTTGCTCTCGTTTCCTTTTATTTCTCCTCAAAAACATCAATCTAGTTCAGGCCCTCATTAACTCTCTCCTAGACTTACACTCTTAGAATCAACAGTCTCCTTCAAGACTCAGGTACCTTTTTCTACATGAGATCTTTCCTGTTTCCTCTGGCTGCTAGTTCTCCCCCATCTTCCATCTCCCCCCAAATAAAAATCTTGTATCATTTTGTCTATATTTTGTGCATGTGTGTGTGCACACATTCTATCTTCTAATACAATTTAAGGTCCTTGAAGACAGATAATGTTTTGGTATTTTCTTTATTATCTCAGCACTAAGAACAGCGCCAGGCACATAGTAGACTCTTTTTTTTTTTTTTGCTTTTTTTTGGTGAGGCAATTGGGGTTAAGTGACTTGCCCAGGGTCACACAGCTGGTAAGTGTCAAATGTCTGAGGCTGTATTTGAACTCAGATCCTCCTGATTCCAAGGCCAGAGCTCTATCCACTGCGCCACCTAGCTGCCCCTCACGCAGTAGACTCTTAATAAAGGCCTGCAGGTTGATTGTAGTCACTACAACATTAAAGCAATTTATCATCATCTCTGGTGTTTGGTATAGTAGAAACAGTCAGACTCCCTCTGATGGTAGCCAGAGGCCCTGGGTGCTAGTCTTAGATTCATCTCCATCTGTGTGGATGTATGGTCGTGGACGAGTCTCTTAACCTCCTCAGACTTCTGTCCTCCGATCTTCAGAAGGAGGGGGGTTGCACCAAGTAGCCTCCGTCGTCTCTTCCAGCTCTGGAGCTGTGATCCTATGATCCTTTGACCTCTCTGGGCTTCATTTTCTCACCTGTATAATTAAAGTAGTAGTAGGTATCCTGTGTCACCTCACCGTGTTGTTGGAAGGATAGAGTGAGATTGTGAATAGGAATGTAAATGCAATTTATCATTATTGCCGTTAATCATTTTTTGGTAATGATGATGATTAATATTGTACATGCGTTCAGTGTTTTATTTGTGATGTAAAGAGGAAAGAACAATGAGAGGTAATGATTAGGGAGGTGTACCTGAGAATAAGGAAAGCCTCGGACAGGTACTGGGGTCTGTAAAACAGAGAACTAACAGGTATGGCAGGGGTTATCCTCAAGGGTCAGAGGTCATGTTCCTCCCTTCCTTATTTTGCAGAACTAATGGAGAGCCTCCGGCAGGCAGAAAGAAAAAACTGGAGCTTGGACCAGCACCACATTGCCAATCTCTGTGACTCCCTCAACCAGTTCCTTACCCAGACTGGTCAGCTGCCCCACCCAGGGGGTCCTCACCAGCCACCACCTCCCGCTAGAATTACTGACGCCTGTGCCCTGACCAGCGGCAAGCAAGAGTCCACAATAAACCAAGGTAACAGGCAGAACCAGAACCCCAGGGGCAGGCAGAGTCTGGGTAGCTGAACAAGGTAGGGAGTGGGGAGGTGGACGGATGGGCAGGAGTAGTGAAAAGGGTTAGAAGGGCACACTGGGGATTTCCTAGTGTCCATACACTTGAACCTGTAGATGTGGTAGAGGGATAGTAACAGAGAATTCCTGCTTGTCTGGTGGAAAGAAGACTGGATTTGGAATCAGAACACTTGTGTTCAGAGCCTGGCACTGCTGCTTACTACTTGTGTGACCTGGGGAAATCACTTCATCTCCTCAGGCTTCATTTTCCTTCTAAGATGGAGAAACTGAATCGATGACCTCTGAGATCTCTTGCATCCGTAAATCAATGAACCTCTGCTCTCAAAGGCCTCAGTCTAGTTTGGAGAGCAAACACATTTGGGGCAGAAGAGGAGATGGCGCAGGGCACATCCCCATTTTTCACTTTTCAGTCTTCCCAACCTGTTTTATGTTCCCTTTTCCCCAAAGCAGTCCTGAGTCATTCATGATTCTTAAATGAAGGAAACAAGGCAGTGAGCTCTTAATATGATTCCTATGTGTAGCTTCCTCCTAATGGCTTTAGTACTTCATACTCCTAGAATTTAAGTCTCCTTTTTTCCCTTCTCCAGTAAGTGAGGGCTGGTGGCTTCTGGAGAAGCTGCTTGCACCAGTCTCTGCAGAGGCTTGTGTGCTGTCTTGATTGATGAAAATCTCACACCCGCAACTGTGCTTCACCCACACTGTTTGCCTGCCTTGCCGCTGAGCTCCCATGTCCCACCCCCTACTTCCGCTTTCTGCCCCTACCAGTCTATCATTTGGCTACCCTACAGCTCAGTTGTTCACCATCCCTGTGACTCCTCAGACCAAAACACCCTTTCCCTAGCCTTAATTTCTCATAGAATTCCTGGACTGGCTGGGGTCATCCCATACTTCTGATCTCAGGCCTGCCATGTGGCTCTCCCATTCTTAAAGATTTTCAGGGAAGGAGAGTCCATGACTTCATTTATGATATACTTAATAACCTGTGAATGACTCTGGAATCATGATCATAGTAATTACTTCTCTTAAAGTTGTGTACTGTCCCACATCTGATTTCACCTAATTTTGCCCATTGTTCCTTCTGGCCCCAGCATCTTCACCTGACTGGTGCTCCAACATTGATTCCCTGAAGGCAAGCTTCCCTTCCTTCCTCATTAGAATATAAGCTCCTTAGGGCAGGGATTGGTCTCTTTTTTGTAATTGTGTCCACAGTGTCCAGTATACAGTAAGTGCTTAACAAATGATTTTTCATTCAGTCAAGAAAGGGAGACATTATGGGAGGTTATTATGGCAGCATCAGTCCAATGAAGTCAGTAGTTCTGCCCAAATACCAATATGCTCTTGTTTGTTTCTTTCAGTGAACTCTTATGGACACCCACAAGCACCCCATCTCTACTCTGGCCCATCACCCATGTACTCTATGCCTACCCAGGACTCTCCAGCATATAACCGTCCAGGTAAGTTGCTTGCTTGATCACCAGGCCTAAGAGGAATCTCATTCTTTGGCTGGTGGCTTCCATTTCTTCTCTATACTTTTTTTCTAAAAGCCTTCAGAGGGCCTCTCAGCACCCCACCTGCTGCGGGGCAAGAGAGGTTTGCAATATGCATGTAGTGAACCAAGAATACCATCCAGGCATTTTAGGAGGAGAGATCATTTGCCTACAAAAGAGAATTGTATGCTTGGGGTGGTTTAAAAAAAAAGACAGATTTCATTTAAAGTTAGTTCTCTTTTTAATGAATAAAAAGGGAACAAAGAATGGATAATATGAGAGCAACAGTTACTCTAAAACAATTTACATTAGGCTTTAGAATGTGTTCAGAGAATAGCCAGAAACAAATGCTGGTATCCATTGACAATGCCTTTGTGCCAAGGTCTGGTCTCTCCTCACCATTCCTTGTCTTCTTTCCCTCCTGGTCAGCTCAGCACTGCTTTCAGCGACTTCAAAACCAGTTGGTTAGTAGAGCACAGAAAGCCCCATGTTGCCCTAGTGGTTAATTCACATATGGATAATTGAATTGACTGATTTTACCACCTGAGAATACCTCAAAATAATAATAAATAACTAACAAGTACAACAGTTTGTACTAGTTACAAGGTCTTCTCTGTGGGTGTTTTATTATGCCAGCTAAAGGGAAGTAATGACTTCCCAGTTCCAGTCCCTTTAACCTCTTCCTTTCCTTCTCAACAGCACATCATCTGGTCCCCCGGCCACCTGTCCCACCTCCTGGTTCCAATGAGGAGATCCCTGATGATTTCGACTGGGACTTGATCACTTAGTGTATCACAGACTGAAGAACCCAGGGCCAGTGGTAGTGAACCCTGGCAAAGAATCTAGAAATAACCCCAGTCCAGTTCCCTTTCCCCAAGCCTGTACATAGATATATAGATATATAGATGTATATCTATTTCCTCTTTTTCTTTTTTTCTCTTTGCCAGAGAAGCCACTGCAAGATGCTGCCGAAGATAACCCTGCCTTCCCTGTCTTTCTCCCCATTCTTTTATTATTATTGTTATTATTATATTGTTGTTATTACTAATAATATTATTGATTACTTTGCCGGCCCCGACCTCCAGCCCCTGGTGCCATGGACCATTGCCATCCCCAGGTTGGGCGGCAGGGACTCAAACTTCCACATCTTGGAGATTCAGTGCTAATCCCACCTATTAGCTCTGGATTGGTTACTGCCCCTATCAAACCTCAGTTCAGGGCTAGAGAGAGTAAGTGGATGGGTCTAAAGGGCTATGCTGGCATCATTGATCCCAAAGGAGTCTATGAGGTGGTGCTATTTCCTCCCCCATCCTGAAATAGTTCCTGCCCCTCCCCTCCCCAATGCTCAGTAAAGCCAGGGCTTAAAATTCCTGTGAAAAAGAAGCAGGACAAAGTAAAATATGAGGTTGGCAGTAATTGGTGACTAAAATAGGAAGGTAGGATCTCAGGAGATAAGTAGGGTTTTGATTAGGTAAGCAAAATCCAGATTGTTGTGAGACTCTTGTAAAGAGGTGGTGATCTATGAGTTTCTGGAATTGGATTGCACTGCCATTGAAGTCAACCACTATTGTGGCCTCCAGCCCACGACACCAGGAATTGGGATTGATCTTAACTAGTGAACTCAACCCCTGCTCTTGTGGGGAGTGAATATAATCAACCCTAACTTGATTTCTAGGGGAGAGTTTCTATTTTACTTTTTTTCCTCATTCTAAATCACTTCTTTAAATCCACATCTCATTTATATATGGAAATTGCCGTCTTTATATGTCCACCTCCCACCCAACAAATGTAATATTTTTGTCCAAAGGTCAGTTTTTCATACTGATCTTCCCTTTGATCCAGTCATTCCTTTGACCTTCCCAGAAGGGAGAGGACCCCTGAGTACCATAAATATCAGCAGAGTCAAACAAATGGCATCGAGGTAGAAGGATTTAGGCTGAGAGGAGAGAAGGTATCACTGGAAGTAAAAGTGGGGAATTCCTGGCCGTTTTAGTTGCAGAGGCAAATGTTCATCTCTTGGGGTTGGAGGTTTTCCCATTGGGTTTTTGAAGAGCATGGAGGCTTAAGAGAGGAATACAGTGAAGGCAGCAAAAGAGAACAAAGTTTAGTGATAACTTATGTCCTTTAACAATTGGAAGTCAACATATATCGACTAGCTCAGTGTGCTCTTTATGCCCAGTGAAAAGTCCATGTTGAGTGTTTAATTCTGGACTTCAGAGAGAAGAGGAAACTCACTTATACCTCCACCCCCATATATTTTCACTTTTAAGTAGGAATGAGTGGAAATAGGGTGAGGCCCTTTTCCACTTCCTGAAACTCCCATATGGGGCCTTCCATTCCTGTTTCCTGTTCTCAGGATTTCCAAGACATCTGTTTCAACTCTGCTTTTTCCCTCCTTCCTTGGAAGGGACTTCAGTTGGGTATGCTTGCACAATAGAAATAAAATGAATTGAGGTATAGGGACAGGAAGAACTAGTCTCTGGGAATTAGCACTTGTCAGAGGGAAATGGGGTGGAGGATCAATCCATTGTGTGGCAAGGCAGTAAAACTAGGGTGCAACTGGCATAATGTTTCTCATTCTGGAGGGAGAACCTCTCTTACAAGTGGGGCATAATGTCTGTCTTTTAACTCCATTTCAGGGATCCAAGGAAGGGGGCCTCCTCTTTTTTGTACTCAGCATCTCCTACACAGATTTCAGTGAGGAGTCCCTACTGCTGATCATAGCTCCTCTCCCTGTAAATCCCTTTCCTTTTAGATAAATGCAGCATTTATAAGAGTGGACTTACTTGCACAAGCAAATGTACCACCTTGACAGCAAATCATCTTTCAGGAAATAGGCATACTCCAGGACTCTGAGCAGTCAGAGGGTGTGGGCCCTATGGATCATGACAGGAATTTGGGTGTCAAGTCTCCTGGGTTCCCAGATCCCCTCTGCCAATTTCAGCCCTATTCTGTTGCATAGGACAAGTCTCTTTCTGTACCTCAGCCCCACCCTACCTTCCCCAGCCCTCAGTGAAATGGAGAAAATACTACTCCTTTGTTGGTTCAAAACTCCAACGTGTGCTGAAGAGGACTGTTGGCTGAACGTGAAATGTAGTTGTCATTGTACTGAGTGATGTGTGATAGCAGGAGCTCACCGGTGGCAGAAAAAGATATGGAAGAGGGAACTGGAAAGTGGTGAGGAGGGAGCAGGGGAGCAAGTAATTGGTGTGGATCCACCCTTCCTTGCCTATCTCCCTTTAACCCCCATGTGTTTGGTTAGGTGATTCCCTCGTGACACTCATGATGCTTTGCATCGATGTGGGCTGGAAAGGGAGGAGTTTGGCCTCACAAGTTTTTTTTTTTTGCATGCTTTCTTAATAAAACAAACAAACAAACAAGAATATTGACCTTTCTTGTGCCGGCGTAAAACTGTTGTTTGATGAAACACATTTATTTGAATTCGTCATCAATCCTTGGGGTGATATGAGGGAAGACAGGAGGGAGGGATGGAGATTGATTGGAGTGGAAGTGTCTTGTAGGCTTGATGGCCTGCCAAAATGGCAGAACTAAATTGTACTTGCCCTCTACTTTTTCATTGTTCCATTAGCCACAGTGAAATTTTGCTCAGGTAGTCAGCCATTCCCTTGGTGTGTGGCACTGGGGACACCTGGCTTGTGTTCTGGGACACGTGGAAGTTTGAAACAAGATGGAGCGGTTGGATTCCAGAAAAGTAGAGGCTTTCAAAGGTTCTTTGGGTAGAGTACTCCCTCAGAGGTTTCTTTCAAAAGAGTACCTTCCTAAGATGATCAGAGCTTTTAAAAGGACCCCATCAAACTCACTTCTGCATCATCTTCTGGGCTTCCAAGTCTTGGTCAGTTCTAGAAAAGCATCCTTAAATCTATCCCAAAGAGCTCCTAAAGTTGCTATGAGACTCTGAAAGTGGGGGCTGAGGTTCCTGTGAACATCATCCACTTGCAGCTCTCTGTGAGTCATTCTTAGCCTTACGAGAAACAAAAAATTGTTTATTCAAACCAATGTTCGTACAAAAGACACCAAAAAAGATAACCGCTGCAGATGCTTTGTCATCTAACAAAAGTGCAACTGAGAGAGAGCTGCAGCTGGAATTCTGTACCATCCCTATGCTAAACTCAAACATGAGCCATTGACAGAATTGTCCAAGTCGCTTCGCCTTTACTGTCCAAATGATAGTGTCATGCTATGAGGTTTCATAATATATAATTTTCTATTTTTTTCCCTTAGAAGAATGTAAGCTTTTAGGAGGCAAGGGCTTTTTTTTTTTCTTTATTCCCTGTCCCTAGAACATACTAGGCACTCACTAAATGGTGCAGTGGATAAAGCGCCATTGAATTCAAATGAACTCTTAAGTATCTGGAAACAGGATTTGACTTCATGTCTAAAGTATGTATAATATTGGCCATTTTTCTCATTCATCTTTGCATCTTTGTGTCTTATACATAGTGGGTACTCAAAGGTGTTTTTTTCCAATTATGAAATAAACGATAGAGGGAAGTAAAGGCTTAGATAATGGTGGAGTGCAATGGTAGAAAGGAGGGAGGTGGTGGTGTAGATTTTTGGATAGGAGAGTTATGTAGCTGGTTGGAAAGTGGATAGAACTGGATTTCCTGAGGGGCCCAGCAGAATGTTGTTGTTGTTGTGTCCGACTCTCTATGACCCCATTTGGGATTTTCTTGGCAAAGTTACTGGAGTGGTTTGCATTTCCTTCTCCAGCTCATTTTACAGATGAAGAACTAAAGCAAACAGGGTTAAGAGACTTGCCCAGAGTCATACAGCTAGAAAGTGTCTGAGGCTGGATTTGAACTCAGGTCTTCCTGACTCCAGGACTGGCGCTTTATCCACTGCACCATCTAGCTGCCACACAGTAGGATACTGGAAGTTAATACACTAATAATTTCTTATTGGCAAAATTGATTTGCTAGGCTCTACATAAAACTTAAAAGTTATAGTCATTTATGTTAGTTTTGACATAGAAGACATGTATGTTAATCACATTTACAGGAATCCTGACACTTAAAACACATGTATGTTATTAAACTTTTGAAAGAAATCAGTTATATAGCATTTTTAAAAAGCTTAATAGTATGCCTAGGTGTGTTGATGATTAATTTTTGAAGTAGATGACAGAATTTTTGCTATTTCTCCCTCTTTTTCCATTTCAGATGAGTTTCTTGGGAGAAGTGAATTCTGAGTATGGGCAGGAATGCCATGGGGGATGTGAAGTTTGAAACTGTTTTAGGCATATGAGTCAATATGGAAGGTTTAGAAGCAGGGGACAAAGGATTTGAAGGATATCAACAGAAATATACTAATTGGCATACAAGTAAAACGAGAAGAGAAAGGTAGATTATCCAAACCACAACTTATTTTTATCACTCGTTGTCCCTGCTAGCCACCATCAATAAGGATTTGGCACAGGGGAAGTCTACACTCCTGGAGGTTATGGACATGAACCTCACTGTGTGCAAGTGCTGAACTCTATAGTTTTCAGAGTCAACAGCCTTCTTTCTGTCCCTTAGTGCTGCCTCTCTTTGGGACGACCTCAACTTACTATCTTATTTGGCTGTGTGTGACTCTTTGTGACCTGTGGACCATAGCATGCCAGCCCTTCTGTCTCCCAAACTCTATCCAAGCTCATGTTCGTTGAACATGTTGGACACCTTTTGACCTGGGCTACTCATCGTCCAATGTCATACCTTTTAGCATTTTAATACTGTCCGTGAGGTTTTCTTGGCAAAGATACTGGAGTGGTTTGCCATTTCCTTTTCCAGTGGTTCACACTTTGTCAGAGCTCCCCACTATGACTTGTCCATCATGGCTAAACCTGCATAACTCATAGTTTTAAGCCTCACTTCCATGACAAGGCAGTGATCCAGGGAGGTATGTAAATTAGTATTTTACCCATTCAGAAGTCAGCTTTCCTCACTACATATATGTTGAATTTGGTCTCCTTGAACTACATATATCTCAGGGAGTCTTAATCATGTAACTTTAGTATAATGGAGTTGACTCCTCACAGAATCAGATACACATGCTCAACTGCATAAAGTGCTTTCACTCTTGGCATAGAATTGACAAACAAATTAATCATATATAATAACAATAAAACATCTTCCAAGTGGTTTCACATCCACAGTCTTTTCCAGATTCTCAACCACATCCAGAGAGTACATAGGATAAATACAACTTTAGGAAATTCACTGTTTGAGCTTGTTTAGTTCTATAGCTGCTCCCCTTTGAGTGAGCAAAAAGGAGTTTTCAAAAGAATTGCAAACTATTAAGGACCACATGAAAACATGCTTAAGACCACTAATAATGGTCTGTCAGAGGGAATGTGAGAAGAAGGACATCAGTGTGGAAGTATGCAAGACAAGCAACAGAACTTTCCATACCCTTTGACCCAGAAATCCTACTACTGGGCCCATACCCCTAAGGATGTCAAAGACTAAAGAAAAATCCAATCTATACCAATGTATTCATAGTAGCACTCTTCTATGGTAGCAAAAACAAACAAACACACAAAAAACTGGAAATTGCGCCTAACCTAAATTGGAAAATGGCTGGAAAAAAACTGTAACATATGAATCTGGTGGGCAGAGCCTATTTTCTTTGTGTCTTTGCACCCAGCACTGTATTGGCACAATGGGCACTTAGCAAATACTTATTGATTGATTGAGTCGAAAAAATAGGAAGATATGTACAGGGTGTCCCAAAAGTGTTAGTATAGTTTTAAGCTTTAGTAGCTTAATAGTATATATAGTTTATAAAAGTTTATGAAACTTAACATTTTATATAGGGTGTCCCAAAAGTCTTAGTATAGTTAAGAAGCTATAGCATGCACAGTGGCCACACCCTGGTAAAACTGTCTCGGCAGACAGGCTAACTCAGGTTGAAGGTAAGTGACAGGCCTCAAATCCGTCAATAAGTTAAGGGAATGCCTACTCCAAGCATGGGAAGACTTCCACTGGCGGGGTGGGCAGATGAGAACAATTTGTTCCAATGGTCATGACACAGGCACTGTGGAGCACTTAGAGCTTGGTCAGACATCAAAGATGCAAAAGTCATCTACTGCATCCCGGGGCTACCACCAGTCATCTTGACTTTTGTCCTGTCACTGGACTTCAATGACTGGAAGAGAGAGTGAGGCTGATGATGTCACAAAATCCAATTCACAGGAAACTTATCTCCTGATGATGTCATTGGTCTTCTTCAAAACGGGACAAACAACAATAACAATACTTAAGCTTTAGTAGCTTAAAACTACACTAAGATGTTTGGGACACCTTGTGTAAACTGATGCAGATCAAAGTAAGCAGAACCAGTAAAAGGAGGTTGAATTTTGAGTAGTTGAAAATCCAGTGAAAATCTTGAATACCTCCCGTCCACCTGACCCCTTGAAATAGAAAGGCAGGGGGCTATTGGACAGAATATTGTCAGATACAGTCACTATACCAATTGTTTTTCTTTGATGTATTCAATTATGGATGTGGGAAGTTGAAATGACTTCAATATAAAGGCAAAAGGCATCAATAAAACATTATTTTTAATTCAATAAAATAATTTTTAAAGAATATTATTTGGAGATATATCAGTGCTCTATATCAGGCCTGCAAACCATACAGTCTGCGGCTGCTTGCTGTAGCCAAAGGAGTTCGGGCAGCTGTCACGTGACCCATGGCAACCAAGGTCATGTGACAGCTGCCCGAACTCCTTTGGCAGGCTTGCCAGTGGCCTGCTCTATATACACAATAGATACTCAATAAATATTTGCCAGTTTACTCATTGGCTAAACTCGTAGGGCATATACACTATACTTCTCTCCGGTTGTATTCTATACATCACCCTTTATCTTCGAGGACTTCCAAAATTTCTTTTTTCACATTTTTTTTATAAGAAATGAATATATCAACTATTCATTTTTACTAGAGCAGAATAAATGATATTAAACTGTAGCAGAGAGAGGATTTAGTTTAGAATGAAGGACTTCAGAATAGCAAGAGATTGCAGCTTCCAGGAGTCTAGGCATTTACGTCAATGCCAGAACTTGCAGCCAGCCAGCATTACTGTCTGGAGGAGCAAAGAGTGACCAACATTCTAGCCTTTTAGAGTGACATTTTGGACCCAATCCAGCAATAGCTGGGCTCATCTGGCCTCTTTTGGCTAAAGGAGTCACGCTTCCTTTGGATATGAGCTTGGTGGGATTAATGCTATGTAGAAACTCTGCTAAGAAAAAAAAAATCTGTGCTAAGTTTATGTCCTCAGAGTGAAGTGGTGTGGTGACAGTGTGTCCCCAAAGTGTTGGGGGGGAGGGATGTTTGTACTTTCGTTCTTGCTATATCTTTCTAAGATAAAAAAGCTTTCATAAAAGCTAAAAAAAAATGGCAAGAGTAGTTAAACATTAAAATAGGTTTTTAAAAATCAGATTCTCATCTGTTTCAATTGGCCTATAGATCTTCTCTTTCACTATCTCTTGCCAATAAACCTTTAACTCTAGTTCTTAGGCGTTAAATAAACTTAAGCTTCGCTTCTGCCAGAATTTTAGAGTTGAAAGTGAAATCTTCCAGTACAACTCTTTTACTGATGAGGAAACTGGGAGCTTAATTGACTTGTCCAATGTCATGCAATCCTGTTTAAATATAGGGATTACTATAGATCAGGTCTGACAAGGTTGGTCAGGTGTCTCAGGTTCAGAATTGGAAGGAGACAAGACACTTGCAGCTTACAGAAATTGCTGTAGCTGGGGAAGGACATTCAGAGCAGGGAAGGGATGTTCATCCAGGATATAACTTTTTTTTCTTTTTTTTAAAAATTAATTTATTTTGATTTATCAACAATCACTTCCATAAGCTTTTGAGTTTTACATTTTTCTCCCCCTCCCTGCCCACCTCCCTCCCCAAGATGGCATGCAATCTGATACAGGCTATACATACACATTCCTATTAAACATATTTTCACATTAGTGATGTTGTAGTAAGAATTAGAACCAATTGGAGGAACCACCAGAAAGAGGAAACAAAACACAACAGAAGAAAAAAAATAGCAAATAGTATGCTTTGATCTGCATTCAAACTCCATAGTTCTTTCTTTGGATGTGGGTAGCATTTTCCATCATGAGGCCTTTGGAGATGTCTTAGATCCTTGCATTGCTGAGAAGGGTTGAGTGTATCAATATTAGTCATCATACAACGTGGCTCTTACTGTGTACAACATTCTCCTGGTTCTGCTCACTTCACTCAGCATCTGTCCATATAAGTCTTCCTAAGTTTTTCCGAAGTCAGCCTGTTCATCATTTCTTATAGCACAATAGTATTCCATTACATTTATATACCACAACTTGCTCAGCCATTCCCCAATGTATGGGCACCCTCTCAATTTCCAATTCTTTGTCACCACAAAAAGAGCTGCTATAAATACTTTTGTGCATGTGGGTCCTTTTCCCATTTGTATGATCTCTTTGGGATACAGCCCTAGACGTGCTATTGCTGGGTCAAAGGGTGTGCACATTTTTATAGCCCTTTGGGCAGGATATAACTTTGACTCATATAAGCATAGCTCTGATGTGCTGGTGTTAATAATGCTGCTGGTCTGTGGGCAGAAACCTGAAAGAGAGACTCCAGGCCCTTATGTTCTGGATGTTTTTGTACTCAGGAAGTTCTTGAGTATTTATTGAGGAAGCTCCCTCAATAGCTAAAACCTGTGTTTCCTGAGCCGATTAAATTTCAAAACTAAACTAACCTCTATGGGTTGGGTCCTTAGCATTTTGCACCTAGCACCTGAAACGATTTCTCATGGTTCCCTCTAACCATCCAATTCTATTCCAAATCTCCTAGACAACCATGACATCATCCACTTTGAAACATGCCCTAGGACATAGCCTTACTGGGGCTGTGGGGTGTCACTACCCCATCTTCTCACACAGCTGTGCTGACAATGTCTTGAGTCAATGAGGTTTTGTTCTGGGGACAGCTAGAAGACTGAATGAGATCTTCACTGAAGACAACCTCTAGAATGCCCTGTAGGGATTGTCGTGTTTTTTGCCTAAAATCCTTCCCCATGAAGGCATAGAGCAGAGGATTAAGGCAGCTATTGGCAGATGCCAGTGCAATGGAGAGGTTGTCCAATGCTATCACTGCCTTCCCAAGTGGAGTAAATGGAGATGCAAACAGGGACAGGACCCCAATAATGTGATATGGAGTCCAGCAGACAAAAAAGGTAACTATGACCACTATAGACACTCTCAGGGTTTTGCTTCTAGATTTCACAAAGTGATTTTTGTTTAAACGAAAAATGATAAGGGTGTAACAGATGATAATAATGATGAAGGGCAGAAGGAAGCCTACCACCAATCTTGTGACTGTGATTGCCACCAAGGTTGTTGACAGTTGGTTCTCACTGAAATCATAGTTATAAATAAAATCCAAGAAATCTTCTGTCACTTCAGCAGGTATATCTAAAGGATTGCTAGAAGCCCTGGGAAAAGCTCCTGCATTGTCATAGGGTAGGACATCAGAGTTTCTCAGTGTATCAGTACTGGAATCATTATTGCTAAATTCAGGTAAAACCATAGGAATCCTTGGTGATTCAGCATGAGGAAATTTCTCTGGTAGTTCTGACAAATCAGAAAAGGGGTGATGACTGTATAAGTTAACTGAATCTACAGTGAATGCACCTCCAGAATGATCTCCATTGACCTTGGTAGAGAAGAAAACATTAGAAGTTCTAGGTATAGCAGTGGTAGTAGAAGGCCAGAGATAAACATCTCTTCTGGAAGATGAAGGATGTAAGATATCTTCTATTGTCCCAGTCAACTCAGATGTAGAAGGGTTCTCGAGTGAGCCTTCTTTTACAAGGTTAGGGCTAAAGTAAATATAAGCTTGTGAATTGTGTTCCTCAAAGTTGTAGGTACACACAGTACAGTTGTTCTCAGTAAAGGTTTCCCGGTACAAAAACACAGGCATGCACATTGCAAAAGACAGGACCCAGATGCCTGCACAGAAGATGAAGGCCATCCTCACAGTGCGATGATTCTGGCACCATACTGGTTGGAGCACTACAGCACAACGGTCAAGACTGATGGCTGTCAGTAGGAAGACGCTGGCAAACATATTGAGTACGATTATGGAAGGGATGAGCTTGCATAAGAGCCAACCATAGGGCCAATGCCCCTGGAGGATCACATGAATGAGGGAGAATGGCACAGAGAGGCAGCAGAGGAGGTCAGCCATGGTGAGATGGAGGAACCATACTGTAGTGACTGTACACTTCATCTTCAGTCTAGTCACCCAGAATACCAACCCATTGCCTGGCAGTCCCAGCAAGAAAGTGAGGCTGAAGATGGCTATGGAAATCATCACTTGGGGTTCCCTCAAGGGCTGGGAAATCAAATCAGATGAACTGGTGTTGGTTAGAGTTGGAGGCATTCTGCAGATTCTGCAAAAGAAGCATAGGAATTACAAATTCTAGTCATACCTCCTTACAGACATCTTGCTCTTATCTAGACTTTCTGTCCTTTACAAATCATTGGTGGACTATCTTCTCTACACTTTCTCTCTTGGTGAGCTCATCTACTCCTAGAGGTTCAGTTATCATTCCCAAATCTATATAACCAGCCTTAATGTCCCATCTTTCAGAAGGAATACAGTCTTCCTCTCAATCCAATCCCTATTCCTTAATACGTAACTCTCCTAAAGTTTCATGACAAATCATCCCATGACATCATTAGGCTAATGACAGCTCATTATCCCAAATTTTTCTGTCTTCTTAATCAAGAACTCTGAAATTTTTCTGACTGCATCCTTCTATCCTTCTATCACTGCCTATTCATCACCTCTTTTAAACCTCTTCATCCTCACCATGATCTCCAATCCATCCAACCTGTTGGATGAGAATCTCTGTTCTTCCATCCAATCCATTTAACCATTCTGTGGTTTCTTTTCCTTCCCTTTATAGCCTTGATCCAGATGTTGGCTATTTCAACTATACACAATCAACCAGACCGGAATTCCTTCCTCTCTGTCCTATTGCCACTTTTCCAGAATCCAATGATTCACCTTCTTCATCCCTACACATGAGCTACTGAGTCTTCCTGGAGAATAAAGGGGGTTCATTATAAATTTATGTCATCTAGTTGCAACTGGGCCCTCACTGCTACATGATGATCATTTTATTCTTTCCTGGTTGGCTATCATACTGTCCACACCAGCTATTGTAAAACTTCTTTGTTTTCAGACCTCTTTTACCACTTCCTTTTGACTCCCTTTCAGCAGAAAACTTCACTTCCACTTTACTGGAAGCCACACCTCAAAATGCTTTTTCATCATTGTCCATTCTCCACTCAAGACTCTAATGAAGCCTGTTCCTTGCTAAGGTTATTCTCTTCACTTATGACTTGATTTCATCCCTCCCTTTTTCTGTTGGAAGTTTGCTTCTTTGATCATTTTATCTTTTTCTTATCTTCAATCTGTACTTGACCACTGGTTCTTTCCTTGTTTCACATCTCTTCCATCCTTAAAAAAATCTTCAGTTGACCCTGTCAACCCCTCAAACTATCATCCTAGTTCTCTTCTCTCTTTCAAATCCAAACTCTAAGAAAGCTTTGTCTATACTGATTGATCCCATTTCCTTAATTCTCACTTCTCAATTCACCACCAACTTCTGCAGTACCTATTCTCCTACTTTAGCTTCTATGATACTGCTTTCTTGGTTCTTATCCTGCCTGTCTAACTGCTCCTTAGTGTCCTCATCATCTTCCACCTCACTAAGTGTGGAAGTCCTTCAAGGCACTATTTTGGGTCCCTTTCTCTTTTTTCTCTAGATGCATGGTCTCATTTGGTCATTTTATCAGCTCTCATGGGTTCAATGCTCACTTCTATGGAGATGACTCTGAAATCTATATGTCCAGCCCCAATCCTGCTCCTGAATTTCAGTATTATATTATCAATTGCTTGCTTGATATCTCTAAGTGGATGTCCCATAGGCATTTCAAATTCAACATGTTCAAAATGGAATTCATTGTATTTTCCCCCAAACCCATTTCCCCTCCATTTTTGTTGACAACACTACCTTTCTTCCAATCACCCATGTTTATAACTTTGAAGTTATAGGGAAGATCCTTTTCCTTAATACTCATATCTTATCAGTTGCCAAGTTTTATATATTCTACATCTTTAACATTGCTCCCATCCATCGCTTTCTCTCTGCTTATACCACAACCATCTTAGTTCAGACTCTTATCACCTCTTCTTTCATACAGCTGCAAAACTGATGTTTCTAAAACACAGATTTGACCGTGTTGCCCTTTTACTCAAAATTTCTCAATGACTCCTCATTACCTTAGTGAAAATACAAATTCCCCATGCTTGACATTTCATCTCTATACTTTGTGCCTTTGCACAAGTGGTCTCCCTTGTCTAAAAGGCTCATCTTTCTCACTTCTGCCTCTTGGAATCCCTACCTACCTTCAAAGAACAACTCAAGTACCATCTCCTAATGAGGTGTTTCTTGATTCTCCAGTTACTAACACCCTCTCCCTCCTCAAATTATATTGTACAGTGGAATGCAAATTACTAGAGATAAGCAATTTGGAGGAGAAAAGGAGGGCATTTTTTATTTTAGGAAAAGGGAGCAAATCACACTCTTAAGAATCTTAAATCTTAAAATCATCTATCAATTATAATACATAGGATGATCTTAAAATTTCATTATAAATGAAGATTTCAACAATGACCAAATAGCTTTTCTTTTACCACTGAAAATGTACCTTAGCAGAAGAATGAGATAAGCAATTTTGATGTGGTTTAATTTTGTGACAGCAATGGTCTTATGTACATGCTTCTACTGATAATAGGATGGTTCAGAATGTCTGATCTTGACCAGGTGAAATTGGTTTGAGCTGGTTTCCTTACCGTTAGTAAGTTTTTTGTCAGTTGAGTAAGCAATTTTGTGCTATAATATTTCATAGAAATAAAAGTTCAAAGAACAAAAGTTCTTTTTTTATTCCATGATTTAAAGAATAGACATTACTCTTAGGAAACATGCAAAAGTTGTAGCTCATAAAGATCACACTTCACTGATTATTAGGGGCATTGCAGTGGCTATTGGTGTAGCAAAGTCAAGTTTTTCAAATATCAATCAAGCCCACAGTGGAAAAGGCTTAATATAATTGAAGCTCAACAGACAGTGAGGTTGAAAATTCAAAACAATACCAATACTTGGTCAACTATTGCTGCAAAAATAATCTAATTAATCCTTGGAAAATAAGCAAAGACCTTCAGAGAGACCTGGTAGCTAGAAGGATCATTACTAATTCTTCTACAGTGTGGCATAGGTTTATTGAAGTTGTAAGAAGAGTGCAAAGATCAGGTTTAAAAAAAATTGCTATGAAAAAAAAATCCTTGTTTTGGAGAAGACAATACAAATACTGGATTATTGGCAATTAGATAAATGTAATTTTTATGAATGAAACTCATTTTTTTTTTATTAACGATTATACCAAAACCATTGGTATAGTTAGTCCAGTTGAGTCTATAAGACCTGAGTATCTTCTTCAGGTTCTAAAATATCCTCCCAAAATATTTTGGAGATTGTTAAATTTTCATTGGGCCTAGATGTCCTATCACTATTGAAGGACTGACGAACTCTAATATATTGATATCCTGAGAAAAAGAATTGTTCTGGATAGAATACTGAAGCATAAACTTGTACTATATCTTACATCATGAAAAGTTAAGAAATTCATCTAAGAGGTGGAACTTACTCTTCTTCAGCGGCCTGAGAACTTACTTGACTTAAACCTACTGAAAACCTATGAGTTACTGCAATTCCAGAAAACTGATACAAGCTACCCTGTCCCCTGACAGAAGGATGATGGACTCAAGGTATAGAATGGGACACACATTTTTTTTTTTTTTTTGTTTAACATGACCAATGTGAAGATTTGTTTTGCTTGACTATGCTATTTGTTGCAAGAATTTGTTTTTCTTTTTCTTTGTTTCAGTTGGGGATTGATGGTGGGAGAAGGGAGGCTAATGATAGTGTTGTCAAAAGAAAAGAAAAGAGGATCCTCTAAATATTTAAAAGAAAATGCATAGATGAGTACAGAAAGATGTTCAGAAGACCAAAGGTAAGCAGGACAGCTCTGAAAGTAAAATGTTGACATTTGCATCATTGATTGGCAATAGTTAAACAAATTGTGGTACATGAATGTAATTGAATATTACTGGGGCATTAAAAAAATGAAGATTTCAACAATGACCAAATGGCTTTTCTTTTACCACTGAAAAAAACCTTGGCAGAAGAATGGGATAAGCAATCTTGATGTGGTTTAATTTTGTGGCATGATACAGATAAGCATGAAAAGGCTTACATGAACTGATTCAAAGTTAAATAAGCAGAGCCAGAAAACAATATACACAATAACTACAATAGTATAAGTGACAACCACAAAACAACAAAAACCCCACAAAAATTAAAACAAAGATGAATATTGTAAAATTATAAACAATAAATTTGGACCCAAAGACACTATAAGAAGACACTCTCCTCTATTCCTTTGCAAGGTGGGGGAAGGTTCTCAAATGTGTACTGTTGCATATAGTATCAAATATTTCGTGTGTTAATAAGGTTTTATTTTTTTGCTATTTTCTCTCCTAATTTTTGTTTTCTTTAAGAAATTTGTTATTATAAGAGATGGTTCTGTAGGAGACAGAAGGGATAGGCATATGGGGGAAATAGGAAATCTAAGTAATGTAAACAAAAGATGTCAATAAAATCTATTGCGAAAGTAGCATGTTGAATTTGTTGTATACTTTTAAAAAGTAAACTATGTAATAAATATTCACAGTTTCCTATGTAATCTTTTTTTCTCTTCTATTTTGTAGATGGAAATGTTCATTTTGTGTGTGTTTGTTAAGTGAAGAATAAAAAAAGAAAAAGAAAACATGTGGGTTATAATCAAGGCTAGATTTTGAAAAGTGGACTGTTAAGTAAAGTTGTACTTAATCTATAATTTGATGTTTTGTGATAAAGATTTAATAGATATGTGTCAAAATCTTGTGAACTCAATGTCAAATTTTATAAAACAAGTAACAGCAAAAGGAGGCCTTATTGCATATTATACTTTTAAAGATGTAAAACTTTATAAAGTTTATTGTATAAGTCAGTACATTTAATTATTTTACTTTGTCCCAGTTAATTTGCACACTACAGTATATGCTTCACATTTATTTACTTGTATGCATGAGTAGAAAGTAAATTCCTTGGGGGCAGTATTTGTAGTGCCTTCTACTTAGTAGAAACAAATATTTCTTGGATTGTATCGAATTAGTGGATTGAATCTCCCAACTATAGTCATATGTCTCCAAATGCCTGCTGGACATTCAATTCATTTCAATCCACCAAGCATTTAAGTGCTTCTTATGGGCTAGGCATTA